ATCCCTAGAGTCGGATTTGACTGGCTTTTGAGCAAGGGAAACCTTTACCTTTACTATTTGTGTTCCAAATTGTGATCTCCCCCCCCCCCTGCAATCTGAAGTGGTACTGTACATTTGAACACCTGAGGTCTCTTGTCACTTCATTTTCCTGCATGTGTGAACCAAACTTAAGCAGTGGGTATGGCTTAGGAACACCCCACCACCCAGCAGCAGCATGAATCCCTCAGTTCTTCATATAATAACTTTCAGTGGATCATAGTTTCCCCTTCATGCTTTCTTTTTGTCCCAAATCTTTCCCAACGTTTACAAACACAATATTTTACACCCCCATCTCCCCCTCGCCCAACACTACTGCATCTACATACTGCTCAGGACACTTGCTAGCCTGCTCATTCCATTCCGAAATTCTGTGCTAAGCTTACCTAGAATCTGCAACCTGTATTAATGAAGCAAATCCAAACTGTTTGTATGAATTCTCTTACCTTTCCTTTTTAAAAAAATCTCATGTATTCTGCTTCTGTGACTTGCACAGGGAGAAGAATGAAGGAATACAGAATATTGAAGTCCTATTCTCCGAACACTGGGAATCTTACTCAGCAGGTTTTGAGATTTTAGTAGCCATTTCCCACAAGAGGTGGCTCAAAGGTTAACATGCTGAGCTGTAGACTGGATGGCCTGAAGTTCTGTAGTTCGAGACCCTAGTGCCATGTGACAGAGTGAGCTCCCGTCTCTGGCCCCAGCTCCTGCCAACCTAGCAGTTCGAAAGCAAGAAATTGCAAGTAGATAAATTGGTACCGCTTCAGTGGGAAGGTAACAGTGTTCTGTGCACCTCAGCATTTAGTTATGCCAGCCACATGACCAGAGAGAAGATTTCAGACAGCACTGGCTCTTTGGCTTGGAAACGAAGATGAGCACCACCCCCTAAAATCGGATTCGACTGGCTTTCGAGCAAGGGAAACCTTTACTTCAAACATTATCTCCACAACCATAAGAGCTAGCAGTTTGCACAGGAAACTGAATGCAATAGCTAATAGCAAGTCTGCAGCTTTTCTGCACTTCATCGCAATCACAGCATATGGACACAAAAAAGAGTCAGTTCACTCTTACATAGGCCATTGGGTGTGTTTTCGCTGGTAAGTTTTGCATCAAAGAAGTGGATGCTTTTGAGCCTGTGCAAAATGCTTTTTCTCTCACTTGCCAAAGAACCACAAAAAACACACATGGATATCTAGGCATGGGAGTTAGTACTTCTTCGCTATGCCTGGCACTTTCTGATTTTACAAAACATGACACTGCAACTGCGCCCCGCTTTCCTTTCAAACTGTCCTAGCTCTTTCCTGTAGTCTCTTCTACTCCTCCTTCCACAGTAGTCAGGAGACCTGGCACACTCAAAGTCTATCTGGCCTTGCTGTCCTCTCACCTGGGACTCCTGGGTCCATTTTGGTTGACTTCCTGGCTTAAGAGAAGGGAAAGGGATGGGCTGCACTCTTCCAGATCATCCTGAGTCACTGCTTCCTTCACCTCAGACAGAACGGACACTGAGCTTCCCTTGCCATGGAAAATGTCACTGTTTGAAACCTGGGGCCTACACACAGCTGGACATGTGCCTTTTGTTAAGAACAACCTCCTCCAGCCTCTCCTCATTCAACCCCAGCACGCTCCAACCACGTCCAGTGAATGGAGGACCATCTACAGCTCCCTGCCCTCCTCTAAATGACAGCCTTTCAAATACTTCGAGGAGGGACATGATTGCTCTCTTGAAGTATTTGAAAGGCTGTCACTTAGAGGAGGGCTGGGAGCTGTTGCTGTTGGCAGCAGAGAACAGGACTCATAATAATGGGTTTAAATTACAGGCGGAAAGGCACCGGCTGGATATCAGGGGATTTTTATTTTTTTACAGTAAGAGTAGTTCAGCAGTGGAATTGGCTACCTAGGGAGGTGGTGAGCTCCCCCTCACTAGTGGCCGGACAAACACTTGTCAGGGATGCTTTAGGCTGATCCTGCATTGAGTAGGGGGTTGAACTAGATGACATGTATGGCCCCTTCAAACTCTATGGACTATTAAGCATGGGTGTTTTCCCTCACTTTCACTGTGCATGTCTGTCGGGTTTTCTTTGTTATCCTGCATTGATTTTCCTCCTTTCAGCACTCAGTTCACTTTCTGGTCGCTGTTTTCCCAGATTTTCTGAAAATGCTTTTCTGCTGATTTTCCCCTTGTTTTGCTTCCAAGCCGAAGGTAATTCAAAAGCATACAGATTCCCTTGGATTTCCCCCACCCTCTTGCTACCCCTCAAAGGTCACTCCCCGCCCACATCAAGGTCATTCCGCCCACTCTGCACCTCCTGTCGTCCTCCCCCTTTCATCGGTGTACAAGCTCAATTTCCCCCTCATTTTATTTTTTTTGTTTTGCTTTGACAAGTGGCATGAGTCTTACAATATGAGACTATTGCTAGTCTTGGATCACTGAATTTAAAAAAAATTAAAATTACACTGGAAAGTTTAAAAGGAGCTGTGAAAGGTTTAGTTCCCTGCTGGTATTGACTTAAAAGGGGGATTGGAGAGGAGGCAAATGGTAGCATACCCAGTGCAGAAAGAAGAAAAAAAGGATTTAAGTGCTGCATGCAAACAAATAAAGGGGGGATTGTCAGCACAGAATGAAATTGACATGAGATGTAAAGAGAGAGAGGAGCTGGGATGGGAAGCCAAAAGCTTTGAAAACATTCTTCCCTTTCATGATTTACTGAACAAAGTGGGGGGGGGCATTTTGACAGTGTCTGGAAGACTAACATTAAAATGGCAGCTGAGCCACATGGACCTTCTGCGAACTGCCAAACTTAAGAATCGCTTGGGATTGATCCATTTGGAGGAGGCTTTTAAAAACTGCCAAGATCACAACCAGTGTGCAGGATCAAAGTAGAGAATGACAAAGAGAAAACCACACAAATTTGCAAGGAAGGGTGGGAAATTAGCATTACTATGCAGCCGCACTAGGGCATCTGCGAAAATACCTCCCTTTCTTTTTCCAATTTAGTGGCACAAGACTAAAAGAGCTCTCCAGAGCTTCTGCCAGAGGACTCCTCCCCCATACAAATTGCAGCCCTGTGCAAAGCCTGGTGGAGTTGCAGCTGAATTTGCACAGGTGCACACGCAGACACACATACACTCAATGTTGCCAACGATCACAGCTTGCAGTGCCAGTGTCAGTGGGTTTTACTGTGCATTCTGTACACTCAACATGTTTCCCCCATATTATTAGATCATGTGACTCCTTCCCATTTTTCACAGTGGCTGATAACACAGCAGAGAATCCCCTAGTGCGCTGCAATATGGAAAACGGAGCTTCACAGCTGCTTGTCAGTTTCAAAACAGTCTTGTCAATTTCAACATTCCCCCCCACACACACCTTAGCCTGCTTCCTTTCTGTCCCCTTTCATTCAATGAACTAATGCTAAAAGGCATGAACAGAACCTGAACCACAGGGTTTTAAATGGAAGGCACTTTCTGGATGCTACTGTGCAGCTGTGATAGGGCAATTGCGTAATTTAAAAAAAAAAACTTTGGACCCCCCCCCCCCCACGTGTCTCAAGTGATGTTCCACCACGATTTAGAAAAGTGCATTTTTAAAATTGTACCTGCAGAATAAATACACCACAGGAAAAAGAATGGTGCATAAGGTGGGCACAGAATCCGAGGTCAAGACGAAAGGCTTACTGCTCTGAAAATCTGCAGAAAGATGTGCGAACATAATGGGCCTATGATTCTATCTTGAGAGCTTGCTGGAATTGAATCAGAAGGTTCTTTTTCCCCATACACAAAGCAAAGATAGTAATACTGGCCTGCTTTGCAAGGTGATTGTAAGGATTACTGAGATAATGTTTGTGAAGGCACTACGCCTGGTTAACCTACTTTATGAACCAGCACAAACTTGCTCTTTGAATTCCTGCAGAAGTGAGGAAGAGCACAGAGAAACATGAATTATTTTCCACAGTCATGAGGACTAGAAGTTTGTTGGTTTTTCAACCTAGTTTTCTACCTATACAGAATTCAATGCCAGATAGAAGAGTCTGTGCTTTAGAATAAACGCAGTCCTGGGTATTAAACAAATTCTACTGGATTACAATATTTGGCATTTTAGAAGATGATGGGGGAAAGAAGAGTTCTGCAAGTTTTAGCAGATAATAGCTCTGCATGGCAAGGACTGGCTAGTGCCTTCCTCCTCATCAAAAAACCTCCTCCCCAAATCCCCCATGGAAGTTTGCACATCTAAGGTTTCTTTTTAAAAATGAATACAGCAGCAAATGAACAGACAAATGCATGGATGGCAATTTTTAAAATAAAAGTGCTCATGCAGCATATTTAAAAATAAAAAGCACATCTGAAGCATAGGGAGAAGGGAAAGGCTGTCATTTCATTTGCAAACTGAGATGAAGCAGACTGCAGGTGAGGGATGCACCGTGGGTTCTCTTGTGATATAATGACTGTCTGCTTCCTTAAATGCCAAGCCATTTTTGGATCTCAAAAAGACAGTATCACACACATTCTGCAGACCTACAGAATATAAATTGACAAACTAATCCCAAACTCCATAAATCCTGCCTCTAGAAGCCCCTCTGCCACCAGCAAAGCACACTTCCCCTAGTTTTCCCTGCCTCAAATACTCCCAGTAGCTCTCTAAGCAGCTGCCCCGGCCTTCCATTTTTGCATAGACCTGAAGAACGTCTGGAAGAAACTGCTCTCAAAAGATGGTGGTGGAAGGTACCATCAAGTCTCAGCCTAGCAACCCTGCAGGGCTTTCATGCAAGAGACAAACACAGCTGGTTTGCCATTGCCAGCCTATGCATAGCAACCCTGGACTTCCTTGGTGGTCTGCCTGCTTAGCTTCTGAGAGAGAGCTAGCTTGTACCATCCAGATTGGGGTCAAAAGATGGCATTGTGCCTTTAAACCAAAGCTTAGAATCAGGAAGGATTGGAAACATAATCTCCTTGAAGCAGAGACGCACCTGTCTTGATCTGCTGTCCCACACCTGCCTCACAGTTTGCCCCCATGTGTCCCGGGCAGCATTTCCACTCCAGAGCTGTAACCGTCTTGTATGCCTGCTTGTACGTTGGTCTGACAATGGTTCTATAGCTGGTGGGAGAAAGAAAACAGAAATAGCTAGTTCGGGAGATGAGAGCAGCAGAGGCACCTAACGTGGTGTGTTACTGGACAGCACAGCAGAAAAGAAGGGTGGAAATGTGGAGGGGGGAAACAGGGGATGTGAACACTGGTGAGTAGAGGGAACACACCTGGAAAGGAGCATGTGATGAGAATGGGTCAATCTTATTGCATCAGTACTAGTATCCTGAACAGAGCCAACAATAGGACTTGTGAAATCCCCAGCAACCCAGATTCAAGAAGCAGGGCCTGGTGGTGCCACAGTGAATAGCAGTACTGGTAGTTCTTTCACACCCCATTAAGGACTGCATTACATGGTCTCTGTGAATCTGTGTAGTCACAATCATGTAGCTTTGAAGAGGTGGACTATTCCCCACCCCACACTCACAGAGCCCACGGAAAATGAACTCTGCACTAAACGTAACTTGTGGCTGAGTAGCTTGTGCCAATTATTGTCTCACATCTCCAATTTGTGTGTTTAATCATTAACATGAGCAGGTCTGAAACTGAAGCCTTCAAAGAAGGCCTGACGTGTGTGAGCTAGCCGATAGCCCTGAGAATGAACCTCAAAATGTGAGCCAGAGACCTGGCAACTCTTGTTGTGAAGGGAGGCAAGGGAAATTCAGGCCGCACTGGGTACTGTCTCCTCAGTTGGGTTCCCAAGGCACCATAGGCCGCAGCCTTGTCTGGTGGTACTCAGAGGGGAGAGGGAATGGTGGATGTGAGGTGTGTGTGTAATGTACAAATTTGTTTCCTCACCTGCCTCCAGTGCAACCCATAGGCCACCGGCAGCTCTGAAAGACTCTCTGGAGGTAGGTGCCATTTTGGACATGGCAGGAAACCGTCCTGGTGACAGTGTACGAACACCAGTTCCTGAAAGAGACCAACACACACAGGATAGGACATCCAGTTATTAAGCAGAAGCTTCACCACCGACAGCCATTTTATCTGGCTGCATCCAAGGGGGAGGCGAGATTTTTTTTTATTAGTTGACTGACTGGTTTAGATATTTATATCCCGCCTTTCTCCCTACTGAAGTCACAAAGTGGCTTCTAACACCATTTTCCCATCCCCTATTTTATTAGCACAACAACAGCCCTGTGAGATAGGCTGTTAGACTGAGAGAGAATTACCAACTTAAGGTCACCCAGAAAGTTTCCATGGCAGACTAGGGATCCAGACTTGGGTCTCCCAAATTCTAGCCTGACCCCCTAACTCAGTAATCGCCCATGGATGCCATGGCACCTGAAAAACCTCCCAGAATTTTGTCATTGGCCCCCAGAACCCCATGGCCATCACAATTTGATTGCCCCCATGGCAACCATGTGGTTGTGCCCATTTCCTGATGCTTTTTTCACACTTTTTGCCTTTACCCAGTTCCTAGTGATTTCACAAAGTCCACCTTTAACCCACCTTTTCTGCACCCAGAAGCTTCCCTTCCACATTATTTTTCTCTCCCCCCCCCCAGCTCCTATGAAAAGAATTGCCAACATCACCCCAACTCATGCTCAGCTTTGGATCAGTGCACATCCCCTGGGTTCCAGATCACATGCCGGCACACAGTCCTCCTGCTCTCTGTCTTCCTTTTTGTATCTCCCACTTGGATTATTGCCTGAACTTCTGCGCAAATCCTTCTTGGCTCCCCCAAGCTTCTCCTTCTAGAACAGCAACCCCTCTTGGTTTGTGTAAGACTTCACCATGCAGAATAGATAAGTAACACAACCCACCATTCTCCTAGCTGCTTTTTCTGTGTCTCATCAACTGTCTGTGCCTTGAGTTATATGTTACCCAAGTGTGTGTGAGCAGAAATATTTTGCATTGACTGTGGGGGCATTTTGATACTTTGTGGTACATGTACACTCAAGATCATTGGGACTACATTTGTTTGTTTTATGTCTCACTCAATCTATCCTACTATAGTTCAATATTACTTATATTTCAATCGACATTTTAATTCTAAGCCCGACATGCAGTGACGTCCTGTTGTTTAAAAGACCTGCCTCTCATTAGAACTGCCTCTCATTTTCTCTCTCCTTATGCTGCTAATTGTTAATGGTCTGTTTCTTAATGCTATTTCTAACAGTTTATTTTTCATGTCTCTATGTTGTTTTATGATATCCTGTTCTACTGTGCAAGCTGCCTCAAACAGCAGAACTATAACAGCAATTAGAACCTCAGGAATAGCAATCACATATTTCTCCAAAGGCCCCCCAGAATAAAGACCGGGTTATACTAGAGGTCTCCAATGAGGGTGCAAGTCCTTCCTCCTGGGGCTAGGGCTGCCAGCTCTGGGCTGAAAATTTCCTGGAGATTTGGGGTTGGCGCCTGGAGAGGGTGGGGTTTGGGGAGGAAAGAGACCTGAGCAGTATGTAATGCCATAGAGCCCACTTTCTAAAGTAGCCATTTTCTGCACGGGGACTGATCTCTGTAGTCTGGAGATAACTTGCAATTTTGAAAGCTCTCCAGGCCCCACCTGGAGGTTGGCAATCCTACCTGGGGCAGCAGCAACAGCATGGGTTACTGTAGAAAGCCCCCCCCAAAAAAAATTCAGATAATCCCAGGTAGGTTCATATGCAAGGAGGCGGGTACTCAAGCTCTAAAGGTCAAAAACAGCATTTTCAATTGAGCCTAGAGGCAGACAATAAGCCCATGCTTATAAGAACAGCCTTGCTGGATCAGACTAGTGGTCCACCTAGTCCACCAGCACCCCCTGTCTTACACAGTGGCCAACCAATTTTTCTGAAGGGCCAACAGTAGGGCATAGAGACTAAGGCCTGTTAGTACTGAGTATCAGTTTACTTCTTTTGATTGCAAAGGTTATCTTTAATCACCATGGCTATGAGCCGCTGATGAACCTATCCTCCATAAATTTATCTAGTCCCCTTTTAAAGCCATCTATGCCTGTGGATATTACTACTTCCTCTGGCAGTGAATTAGACATTTGAATCACGGGTTGAGTAAGGAAACACTTCCTTTTGTTCATCCTGAATCTACTGCACATCTGCTTCATCGAATGCCCTCTGTTTCTAGTATTTGGGGAAAGGGGGGAAAAAAGTTCTCTTTATCCACCCTCTCTGCCCCACGGAGAATTTTATAAACCTTTGTTCAGTCCCCCCAGTCATCTTTTTTCTAAACTGAGAAGTCCCAGCCTCATAGGAAGCACTCTCCAACCCCTTAATCATCTTGGGTTGTATCCACACATGGTTGGATACTGCACAATGGTTGCGTGATGGTAATAATTTGCTACTGGACTGTTTTAGTGCAATATCCAACCTGCATGTAGTCGTGGTTTCTCTCTTCTGTACCTTTCCCCAGCTCTGTTGAGGGTTGGGTTTTTTTGCTGTCAAGTCACAGCTGACTAATGGCGACCCCATGGGGTTTTCAAGGCAAGAGACATTCAGAGGTGGCTTGCCATTGCCTGCCTCTCCATAGCAATCCTGGTATTCCTTGGTGGTCTCCCATCCAATTACTAACCAGGCTGACCCTGCTTAGCTTCCAAGCTGGAAAGATAAGGCTAGCCAAGTCAGGGCTGAATCTCTTTGAGATACAGCAACTAAAGCTGCACACAGTATTCCAACTGAAGCTGCATCAGAGATCTGTCCTCAGCATGTATCTGAGGAAGTGTGCGTGCACCCGAAAGCTCATACCCTGAATAAACCTTTGTCGGTCTTAAAGGTGCTCCTGAAAATTTGTTCTACCACGTCAGACCAACACGACTGCCCACCTGGATCTGTCCTCGGGCAGTCGGCACGATACTGGTTGTACGTGCTTATTGCTGCAAGAACCCTGTTATCACTCTGGTCTCCACATTTCGTATCAGTTGAAGTTGGCAGACAGTCTTCAAAAGCAGCCCCACAGAGAGCATGTTACAGTAGTCTGGTCCAATTGTTAGCAAGGAATGTATGACAGCAGCCGGACCAGGAAGAGCAGCAGCTGGCAAATCAGCCTGAACTGGTGACCTGGCCACCTAGATTATCCAGACAAAGTGAGGAGCCCTTTAAATGCTGGTGACCGGCCATACTTTTTTCATTGATCTAGAGACGTAATCAGTCACATGCTGTCTGACTGTGAGCTTCCCAGCCCCAGTGTGATCCCCTGTTTTCACAAGTGACACCTCGCCCAGGCTAAAAAAGCAAGTTATCAAACATATACCCCACTTGGCATTAAACCATATATCCGCTCCATATTCTTTGCAGACAACCGTGTGTGTGTGTGTGTGTGTGTGTGTGAGAGAGAGAGAGAGAGAGAGAGAGAGAGAGAGAGAGAGAGAGAGAGAGAGAGCACGTGAGTGCGTAATATGGAGGAGGGGGAAATAAAACTTGAAAAGGCTGGAAAAGGGCCCTGGAGAGGTGATTAAGGATTCTGGCGAGCTAACAGGAAGGGAAATTCCCTCCAGCCCCGGGAACTCAGTGCCAAGTCTTGATCTTGAGAAGTCTGTAATTTTCCATGCCAGAGTTATAAATCTCTGAATGGCAGGTCGCTCTCTAACCCTGCAGGGGGTTCACATGACCTAGCAGTGCTACCCTGCCTGTCCATCTGGCACAATATTTTATATATGTTTACCTACATTGGTCCTTTCAGACAGGATTGCAGGATGAGACTTCAGGCTTCTCCATTGCAGCCTGTGAACAATTAAATCAGGTAATGTGAGCCTCTGATGTTGCCAAAGGACATGCAACTTAAGGATCTGGTTCCAACTAAATGGAGCCCTTTTGGTCGAGCCAGGAGTTCCCTCAGCAGGCTCAATGTAGCCAGGGCCAGATGCAATTAGGCGTGCATTCCAGTGGCCTCTGTATATCAGAGGTAGTCACAGTTTTCTGATATATACCCTGGTAGATTCTTGTCACTGTTCCGCCTGTTAAAACATTTCACTAGGATCAGTTTGCCAGAGTTGGTATTCTGCAGGTTTCTGTTTTTACTGAGTTATCTGGGTTTTTACTGGGTTATCTCTGACAGGGTGCAGGGCAGATGCATGTTGCCTCTAGCATGTGAGCACGAACACTAAAAGCCAATCAAGGTGGGCGGCCGTGTTGGTCTGAAGTCAGACGAAGTGTTCTTTGCACACGAAAGCTCCCACCTTGAATAAAACTTTGTTGGTCTTAAAGGTGCCACTGGACTCTAACTTTGTACTAAAAGCCAATGTTGCTGCAGTCAGTGCATGTAAATTCTTACAGTGCATGTAGAGCCCAGTACACTGTAGCGACAATGGGGTTTCCACATGGCAGGTTTTGCCACAGTTTCCCTATCCTAGTCTCCCAGTAGAGCAGCAACCACTATAAGAACATAAGAGAAGCCAATGCTGGATCAGGCCAGTGGCCCATCCAGTCCAACACTCTGTCACACAGTGGCCAAAAATACCACGTGCCATCGGGAAGTCCACCAGTGGGGCCAGGACACTAGAAGCCCTCCCACTGCTGCCCCCGCCCCAAGCACCAAGAATACAGTGCATCACTTGCCCTAGACCAAGAGTTCCTATCTATACCTTGTGGCTAACAGCCACTGATGGACCCCTGCTCCGTATGTTTATCCAATTCCCTCTTGAAGCTGTCCATGCTTGTAGCCGCCACCACCTCCTGTGGCAGTGAATTCCATGTGTTAGTCACTCTATGTGTTAATCATTCCTCTCCCTTGCCCCTGCTAGGGATTTTTCAGTATTTGTTTTTTAAAAATCAGCAATTCAATTTTATTATAATAATCTGTGTATCAGGTTGTCGGCTTTCATTAAAAAAAAGTCTCTAGGCCCTTTTATTACAGGTACAGCTTTCTCCTCATAGCCACTGCAGAGATAGGAGCAAAGAAATGGCCTTTGAGGTCCTGGGGAGGGGGCTGCAGCAGGGGGGTGGCTCCTGGGAGACCTCATGCCGTAGTAGGAG